CTACAGCTAACTCCTGAGAGAGTTAACAGCTGTATAATTAGTTTCAGCTGACTGAAGTGAATGACTGTTGCGCTTTTTTGCAGAATTTATATTCCTTCTGTCTGAAAAATGGCACTTGGACCAGTCGGCAAGGTACCAAGCGGTAGAGTTACTTGAAAGGTAATAAATATCCTGAATGCTCAGTGTGTTTCTCATTTCTCCTGCATGGTTACGCTGTGCGTGCTATATACCACTCATTCAAACAATGTATAATGGATTTTTGTCTGTCTAGAGCTTTATCTCTTTACTCATTTAATTCAAATTAACAGCTATCCGTATATTCAGAGTACATGCAGAATTGCTTTTCTTCCTTTTTCTTAGCAGAAGAGAACTGTTTTCTGAGCAATTGTGGGTTTTGTAGGTTTATGATCAAGCAAGTAGAACAAATCTGTAAGTCCTCCAGAGGGAACATTAGATATCGTGAACAAGGACAAGGCAGCAGCTGGAGCTCTCTGAAAGATCAGATATATGACACGTTTCTCCTGCGACTTGTATCGTGCATTCAGCTTGCAAGCAAACTTTCCTTACATTATAATGTAAGCCAGCTAAACCTTTTCCTATAGCATTTTTTTAGCAGTGTAGTAACTTGTGTGATATATTAATCTCTCTTTAAAAATAGATTTCCTCTCTGAAGATAACAGTGATTATGAAATGCAAAGGATATGGAAGCGGAGACCTAAATCTCTTCCGTTTAGGGCAGATTAATTGTCATCGAGTAACAATTTGTCAGGAAATGTTGGGGGAAAAAGTACAGGCAGCAGGAACATTCGGCCTGTGGTTGTCAAAAATTGTATGGCTAGTGAGGGTTCACACCTGTCTGGGGAAGGTTTGTGGAGTAGAGGAAACCTACGGGAAAGAAGGTCTGAGCTGGATTTCTCATGCCAGCTTAAAGCACAAGTTAGCTGGGTTAGCGAGCAGCGTCGCTACTGGAGTGGCTCATGCTTAATTCAATGGGAGGAGTAAAGCAGGAAAATACGTTGTTCTTAGCAAGTGCTTTATTGCCTAATTTGTCTTTTTTTTTTCCTCTTCAGATAGTTAACAGTGACACAGCTTTAAAATTTCTGCAATCCTTAAAATACTCATATACTAAACAGGAATTGCTTGAGTCGGAGCTTGCCGTTTTAGAAACTCTGCACTTCCAGATCAACGTGTCAACTCCTTTGGCTTACGTGGAATTGCTTCTAGAGGTTTTAGGTACGAGTATTATAGGAGAGAATGGGAAAGAATTTTTTTAAAAGCGTACTAGAGCTATTACTGATCTGAACCAAAATGTCTTATATTACAGATTTTTGCATGCTGTGAAGGCACATGAAACTTTTCAGATTGTCCAGGGCTTTACTTTTCGGACGAGAACTTTGTCCTTAGCAGAATCTGATGAATGTTGTTGGACAGCCAGTCGTGACTCTTTCCGTGAAAGATCTAAGAGTTTAAAACCCCCAAAACCTAGTGTAAGGCCACGTTTTCTACAATGACTTTCCATTTTCTTTGCCCAGGTCTGACAACCTGAATTTCAGAATGAGTGAAATTATACTGAGATTGAGAAAGCCTATGGCATGAGAAGGCCTGTGTCATTCAGAAACAAAGGGCAGTTGTCACCAGAAATCTGCATTCCTCGCTTACAGTAACTGACATTTCTTTCTCATTCAGTTTAATGACTCAAAATGTATGGCTGATTATGTATGATCTCTGTGCTAGGACATAACGGCTGCCTGCTTCCTGCAAAACCATTACATCAGATGTGTATGCAACTACTAGACTTCTCCTATCTTAAAAGAGATGCCATCTATGACACTTTGTTGAAGATTGCCATCGAAAATTCGACACCAAGCAAACTGCAGGTGTAAGTAGCTTACGTGACTATTGCTTAAAATAACTATTTGAAATGAAAACCCTAAAAAAGCCTAAGAAATAGTAGCATAATTCCCATTATGCCATTTTTTGGGCATGTTTTAAAAAATTTTAATTTCGGGGGCTTTCAGCATTGTTTATTGATCTTAATATACCAGTTCAAAGCAACGTGCTTCACCACATTTGCTTAAGGGGCAAGCTAGGAAAGTGTTTAACTTAATCGTAAAAATCCAGCTCTAGCACTGTCAATTAAAGATAACAGCATAAGGCTTTATTTGGACTGAACAAGCTAACATGTCCGTAGGCTGTACAGCGATTACAGAAGTAGGTGCTTTTGAACTGTAAAACTAGCATCATTTTACATCAGAAGACACTTTTACTTTTGCAGAGCAAAGTTTTTGACAGTAAAGGAAGATTTCATGCTCTTGGCTGTTGGAATCATCAGCACAAGCGTGTTCATACTAAACCCTGGGCATTGGAAGCAGGTACAGTCGCTTCTAAACACATTTGCTCTACGTGAAAAAAATGCGAAGGTTGTTTATATGTTTAAGCACAGCAAGAAGACAGGTAGACTCTACTGGGAGTAGCATGAGGGAGGTGACATCTGTCAGGTTTTTTAGCAGGAAGCATGTGTACTTTTGTAGGAGTTATGAGGGTACATGGGCAGTTCCGCAGGAAGGCTTGCGCATGCACTAGCATGAGCGTATCCTCACGCTCCAGCTCCTTTACAGCCAGAACAAACCCCCCCAGACATCGTTTCATTGACAAGTGGAGAAGCAATCCCATGGCACAACGTTCTGCCCAAACTGCTACTGAATACTATAACAAGCAGCCTATTACAGATAGTAGCTTTTTCATTTTACTTCTTTAGTAGAAGCAATTAAAAAAAAAACAACAAACCCCAAACCAAAACAAAAAAAACCAAAGCAAGCAAGGAAACAAAAAACCCAACCAAATAAAAAACCATACTGAGAGGCTTCAGCTTTTGTTGATGTGCACCCCTGGAGCACTATTATTCTTGTTAGGGTTTGGAGGGTTAAGAAGTATGTCTGTAAACTAATGTCTCTTAGGCACTGTAAGTATCTTTTTTTTTTTTTTTTTTAAGGTTGTGGAGCATTTAAACTGTATCACTGGCGTTACTTCACAAAGTATCTTAGAATTTTCTTACGCAGTACTGAAACACATCGTTGGCAGTACCACTCCAAAGCAGCACTATAGGAACTGTGGAACAAAAGCTCCAGAGAACAGAATTATGCCTCTTAAATAGAACTATCTTCTACAGCCAGTTGCTAGTGTTTCAGTAGCAAACCGTTATGCTGCTGATAATAGTCCATCTTCAGAGATAGTGCACAGGGCACCCGATGCAGTTTGGTTTTACTTTTGGTTTTGAACACCAGGTGTTCTGTAACATTTGGTATATTACGTCTTAATTAGAAAAGCTTGTCCTTGCAGGCAAGGCACTAGTGCTGTGAAGGGAGGCACACAGGAGCAAAGTAGCACTTAGAAATACCTCTTTCAGCACCAAAAGCTTTATTTTAAGAGCTATATCTTCTCAGTTATAAGTTTCCTTTGAAAAAAGAGAAAACTCTAAGAGTCATGTTTTGAAAAGGCATTAATGTGCATGGTATTCTGCTTGGTAATCTGTATTGCCAGATGCAGCTTGCATGCCCAGTCATTACAAACAGGGCTGTACTTTCTTTCTCCACTTGCTGCTTTTTAAAAAATTAATGTCTCAGGCAGCGTGCTGCAGCCAGGCTGCTTGTTACTGTGTTCCCTCTTTGCCAGTGCTCAGAGCCTGTTTGCTCTTACCCTAAGAAAGCCAGCTAGTTGACCAGTGTTGTGAGAAGGACAGAATCCCACCAGTTTTGAAAGCGATGCAATTGTCGCTGCAGCAGGTGCTTATTCAGCACGTCCCTCTTAGTGCCAGGGGCTGCTTGTGCTGCGCCTGGCATATGCTAGACGAAAGGACTCTTTGTGTAGAACAGTGTTTTATTATTTACTCCATGCACCTCTGTGCAAGAACACGCTGCAGGAAGTATTACAAATAGTTAATATCATCATAGCTAACAGTATTTTAGAGAGTATCAAACTTTAAGTTCAGTGGCACAAAGAAGTGCTGATATGACTTAGAAAATACTTTATTTCAAACTGTAGTTACTCTTTAATGACCAAGCAGAGCTTCCGAGAGTTCTTCCACATTATTCCCTGTGTTTGTAACATTTCGCTTTTCTAACCTGTGTTAAGCTGTAACAGAGTAGGATCAAACTCACTGGCGTTTTGAAGTTCAACAGTAATTTGTACACATACCCATAAACCCCAAAAGTACCAGTTTAGCATCTATTTAGTAGCTGATTTTTTTTTTATTCTGTTCAGCTCAATGATATAGCTTTACATATTGCTTTTCTATATACTACTTGTAATAATGGTATTTTAAATAAAGTGTCTTGTGGATTTTTGGTATTGTAAACATTTTGTACTGGTTAATATTAAGAGACATCTTAATTTGACTTTCTCCAACGAAACGCAGACACTCTACAGCTGCCAGAAGGAGTTCTTTACGTGGTTACTTGTTATAGAATTGGGATGAGACCCAGGCAAGACCCCACTTCAGGTTAGTTAACATGAATTTTAGTGCTTTTGTCCATTGCTCTTCAGAGTTAAATTGTGTTTTAATAGAGTAAGAGCCACCACTGCCACCTGTATCTTCAATCTTTCCTTTCTCCACGTCCATCCTGTATCACACACAAAGTTTTATTAGTGCATTACTACTGCAGGCATTTAATCTCAATATGACGTTAAGTACTAAAATTTAAATCTGACATTCATATTATTCTGCTAAGAGTACTTTGTTTTTAAAGAAAATCTAGCAAGCCTCAGGTCTCCACCTGAGGAACTAGCTTTAAATTTCAATTAAACTAAGAGCAAATGTGGTAATCCTGCACATTATAAAGAACACCGGATGATTCCAAAAGACAGGACTGAAACAGCAAGCAGTGCTGTAGACTGGTCCAGAGTCAGTTAATGCTGCGCAGGACAGCGTACGAAGTGTTAATTTGACATGTTACATAGCAACACTCACCTGTAAGGCAAACAAAATCGAGTTTCGCCTTTTTCCACTTCCTCTTTAAATTGCTGCACACAGTCCAGGAAAGCCACCATTGCATGATCAAACTTATTGTCCCAGAAGAACCTTAGGCCTCCAGAACAGTACAAGGGGAGCTCCTGGAAAAAGAGATTCACTTCAGGCACCCCAAGCACTCCATTTTAGATATGGTCATTGCACCTGTTTAGTCTTGTGCAAGGCTTAGATTTGTCACAGGATGCTTAGAAATGGTTTGTGGCACATAATAAGTGTGACTTGTTTTGTGGTAAGCACCTGCTGTGTGGAGGCTTGGGTTCCTAATCACCAACAATCATCCCAAATCACGCTATATTCCTCTGGTCAGCTGCAGTATACAGTTCAAGAGCCCTGTCGTTTTTAATGCTACTGGATGGCAGAACGAGTGGCTTGATATAGGATATGGAGTGAGATATTACTATGTTGGAGAAGTCAGAGCAGCTAGCTCTCCTGTACCATAAATTCATGAAGAGCTGAGTTCGTTTTCTGCATCCCCCAGCATGACCAGGGCTCTGTGGCATTCAAGGTCAACATCCTCCGATTTGTGCAGGATCTCTTACCTTTGATTTGTCCGTGAGGGACTCTAAATATGAGTGGTTGCCATATGGTACAAGACGGTATCTGAAAAGAGATACGATTTGCAGGCAGATTAGTCTTAACTGTCTTTATCCGGGTCATAAGTGAAATGTGTATTATATTGCGTATACCTTTGAAACTTCAGGCCCATTTTATTAGCAAGGGCATGTAGCAACAGCACAGTCTGCCCCCAGGCAGCATTGATCTCGTTCCATTCCACAGGAACACTGGGGAGACGGCCAAGTCTGAAGTTATTTATTGTGCCAAACTGACCGCTGTGCCTGTGACGAGAGGAATTATAAATAAGCGCACTGGGGCAGGAACAGCTTCTAGCATGCTAGCCAAACAAGGGCCACGTACTAACAGTTACAGAACACACACTGCTAGCCAAGCAAAAGGAGGGTTTGGGGGCTCTGGTTAAAAAGTGTATATAAATACCAACCACTTGTTCTCTTTTTATGACAGAGTTCATTTAAAAAACCAAAAAACCCAAAACCAACCAAAACAAAAAAAACCCAAACCCCCTGAGCTACCTGCTCTGTAAAGCCTGACATTAGAGTGTTACCGTTGGCTAGCAGTTAACAGAGTTCGTGAAAGAGCCCTTTCACAGTCTACTTGGAGATCTGCACAGCATCCCAAACCTCTCTCAGCTGACGCTGTTGGGAGCTGTGACCAGCTGCTTTGTTGTGGGGTAACTATGAACTGACTAGCACCTTTCCTGTCAAATGCAGTATTTCTTAACTGGCCCTAGATTGCAGATTCTTAGCAAACTGACACAATATTCCAGTGTCTACATTACCAGATGTGAAAGGTTGCATTGAACACATTGGTTTTCTTTAATTTATCCAGTTGCATCTGGGCATAGCGCATTTGGTTGTCCACACTTTTCAGCTCATCATCTAGCTCCAGTTGTTGCCTCTTGAATTCACAGTATTCTTTCTGATACCTTTTAATGAAAGCAAGACAAGAAATGCTACGTGCAGGCTTTTACAGAAAATTGATTGCTTACACGGTATGCTAAGTTTTTTTGGTCTAGCCAACTTCAATTTTGCAAAGAACAAGCCACTGGCATTTGGGCATTATTTACACGTTTCTCCATGTTATAATCTCCTTTATCTGTTACCTAAAATCCCTGCCATAAACTGCAGTTGTAGTTCACTCACTGAGCTTCTTCCTGCTCCAGCCGCTCTGCCTCCGCCCTGACTCTCTCGAAGTCTTCAGCCACAATCTTGCGGTTCTTCTCAACGTCCTCTAGCTCCTGAATCAGTTGCTCTTCCTCCAGTGCAAGTTCTTTCAGTTCTGTTTGCAGTTTCTCCTTATCATCCTCGTTCATTTGTTCCAGTATCTCCAGACATCTCCTAAAGGAGAGTGACAGGATTACTAAAACAGGGATCCTGGGAAGCGCCCTGCCAATAGTCCCCGGTTCCGCAACAGCCTGCACACGCGAGCAGAGGTGCAAACGGGGACTCTGATCTCACGTGCACCTCTCGTTAATGCTGAGCTCTCCGCATTGGTCCTGCACCATGAGTCAGGAACGCACATAGGAGAACAGGGGAGTGAGATGGCGACTGAGGATTTGTTACTGTCTGTCAGTAACCGTCTCTGTGAAGCCCTCGACTGCATGGGAACGCTGCCACACAGGCACCGTGGGCAGGCGGCGTCAGTCGTTCTGACAGGCTCACAGACTTCATCGGGAGAAGCTCTGCACCACAGGACTCTCAAAAATACAATTTTCATCTCATTCAGACAAAGAAAACCAAGCGCCAAACAGGGATGTCTCTTACTGATCATGGAAAGCCGGATCAAGGCTGTATTCTCTCCCTAGGCTTCAAGCTAAAGCAGCTTGGTCTCAGGTCACCCCCGGATCACTCACTTGTAGTTTTGGCACTCGTTCTCTGTGATGTTGAGCTGTGTGTCTAGCTGGTCTAGCAGAGTGTCTGTGCATTCCTCACACAGAGGGTGATCCACATCTGTCTGCCCAGACATAACGTCAAAGAGGTCACCGGTGACCTGCAGGAAGAGCTCACCGTTAGTTCAGGTGGAGCCACAGGCAGCTGCTGGCTGGCTTTCAACACACGGGCTTGTGCTTCTTCAATTGGCAAAGCATTTTTTGCAGGTCAAATCTTGATTTAAAATAAGCCAGCTTTACTGAACTACTCACCAACAAAAATACTGGAAGGCCAGTGCTACGGGCAACTTTGCAGTTTAGTCTTGCAGAGCATCTAGAAAAACTGATGCTCCCTTCAAAAGTATCCGAGTTTACCAGCTCACGTAAAACTTGCCTTCAGTCTCCGGCTGAGGTTTTCCATCGTGCCGCCATCTGACGCCTCTCCGATCAGCGTGAAACTGTTGGCGCTTTCTGTTGACATCATTCTTGGAAAGAATTTTATTGGGAGTTGAGTGCCGAGGGTCTAGGGGAGCCAACTCTAGTGCTAGACTTAAACCTGAGACTAGTTCGAGAGTCAGAAAGGAAGAACGCACAAGACGTACTCGCAGAAGGACGGGGGAGGCTGCATTTCAGGAGGGCGCTATCGGGAACAGCGTTCTGTGTTACCCCGTAGCTACAAGCAGCGCCCCAAACACCCGCATTTACGTACGTGCGAACGGCTGTGCCGCGGCCTGCCGAGGAGCCCAAGGGCCACGGGGATCCCTCGGGGGAAGCTCTGAGGGGGTCGCACGGAACAGGCCGTTAAGCGCGACGCGAGGGGTGCCCCTCCGGCAGAGGTGACGCCCCGGGGGGACCCTTTCCGCAGGCGGCTCCTCGGCGC